AGTCCTTCATTTTATTATTTCTCTAATTGTTCATCACTCAGGAAGGGAGTATGAAATGGTCCTCTGGAAACTCTGGAAATATGGAAGGAACAGGGTTTAGTGACACTGAGAACTCAAAGTCAGAAGAAAAAGAATTTGGGCCTTTCTCCTGCCTGCCTGTAACTATCTCTTCTCATTTTCCTAACCAGTCCCTTTCTGGGCAACTCTTCCTGCCTTACTTGTGTCTATGCAAACATCCTTTTCTTCCTCCCTTTCACTTTTTAAATAATAAACTCACCCTTTTGGATATTTAAAAAAAAAAAATTCAGGTAGTTCAACATACCTGTGTTCTGGAACCTGTGGAACACTGGTGGAGGCTGGGGAATTAAAACTTTGGAGGATGGGGGGCAGAGGGGAGATTGGATTAGCCTCAGAGGGTTTTTATGCTGGTGCAGTTGGCACAGGTGAGAGGTTTGAGACCAGCACACAAACATTTTTAATCTAGAGGGTCACTGTGGCTATGAAGCTTTCCTCACAGAATGGAACTGTCTGTTAAAGACCAGCTTCCCCTGTTGGGGCTTTGAAAAGGCTGTGTGGGCATGTTAAGGAAGAGGCAGTGGGCCCTCAACAGTGGTGTGGGCTGTCTCTCACCAGACGGCTGTCACTCACTGGAAGCATCTGATTCCTGTAGGGCCTCACAAATGCTGAAGTGAGGCCAAGAGACTAACATGACTCAGAATGAATAGAGACGCACCCAGTGATCACAGACAGCATCCGTGCCCATTTGAAAACAAGCCACTCTCCAGTCATTACAACAGTTATTCTAGGAAAGTTAAGAACAGCACCTCCTGTACCCAGAGTGGCACGTGTTCAGAGGTGTGGAAGGGAATCACATGGGGAGAACCCGTACATCTGTTTCCCCTTGATGCCTGTCAGTGTCCATTTACTGGAGTTTACTACCTGCAGCCTAGATTTCAGCTGGCAGAAACGTTCCCCCAAGAGGGCTGCAAAACATCTTAGAAAGGGGTACGGCGTGGCATAAACCCACGGGCAGGCTGCAGAAGTCCAGGAGGCAACCACAAGCACCACAGCTACAGCTCCTGGGAGACTTGGAAGGCCTCTCAGCAGAGCCGGGAGTCACAGGTGCTGCTTTCCGGCTGTTTTCAAGGCCATGGGGAGCCAACGCCCTTCAGAATGCTGGGCAGTTCTGGATTTTAACCAGGTGGCTGCTATACCCACTACCAGCAATCCCCTTGCTCAGGCCCAAGGAGGGGAGGAAGATGAGCTTGTCTTGGACTCACCCACAGACTCTGGGTTGTCAAATCCAAGGAATGGAGAAACCATCTTTAGGAGGCAGCTTTCTTGGGTTGAAGCATTATACCCCAAGGGCACAGACTGAGCACCCACGTGGCTGAGACTTGAGAATGCTTTTCTACAGGAGTGTGCACCCGGAGCCCTCACTCAGTCCATCCTGGGTGCCAGAAATATCTCCCTGGAAGGAAAATGTCAATGGGATGTCATGTGATGTGAATCCTCCTCTCTACCCCATCCCCAGGAACGAGCAAAGCAAACTTTCAAAAACAAACTGCGAGTCCTGCCAACTGAGATTAAAATGAAAAGCAGTGAGTTCCAGGCATCTTGGGGAAGCCGAAGCCAAGACGACCCCCATCTTTTCAGATGTCACTGTTTCCACCAAGGAAGGTCCTTGTAGCACTCAGTACGGAATTCAGAGGACAGTTTTGCCTGGATGACGGCGCCGTGCCTGGGAACTGGCTTGCTGAGAAACAAGCATGGTTGTGGGACCAACACTGTGACAATTTTGTGGTAAATCCTCAGACTCTTAAAAAGTAGGCACGCCATCAACTTGACCTTCAATATCCTTCTGTGGCCCTGTAGGAACTTCAACCCCATGAGAGACAATTCCAGCTATAGCTTTTGTAAAACTCTCAGCTCCATCCAGTAACAAAAAACCTCTCAGGCTGATCCAAATGAGAAATTTAGAAGGATAGTTTTGGGGCTCATTTAAGTTTTTATAGTATGAATATACTGAATGACTTTAGATATTCTCTTTAGGTTTTAATTTGAAAAAGGGATTTAATCTTTGAACTGTTTTCTCCTAAAGGTTTGATCATGGGACAGGATTTCTGGAAATTTTGGGGGCAATTATGTTGCTAGCATTTTATTATTGGATTACCTTTCATGCATTTTTTAAGGTTTACTTATGCATACAAGAACTGGGGTACAGGCCAGAGATGCAGGGGGCGAGAAGATTCACCAGAGACAGAGTAGGGAGCAGAAACAGGCAAACTGACTGAAATAAACTGCTGAGGGAAGCAGTGGGCGAGACAGGCAATGTCTGCCACACTATGTGGGTCAGCTCCCTGGCCAGGGATCAAACTCTGCTGCATGACTGTGGACAGCTTCACAGTGCTGTGCTTTAAACTTTGGGCCGCCAGGCAGTGCTTCGTGCATTTTTTAATGGGAATCCTTTCATGTTGGAATTTAGTCTCATAACAGAATCTCCAATAAATTTCAGTGGACAGTGAGGTAGTAGGGAGCTAGGGATGCGGATGATGTGGAGAAAAGGGACTATAAATTGATGCAGCCATTATGAAAAGCAGCATGGAAATTCTTTCAAAAATTTCTCAAGTAGAAATTCTTTGTGATCCAGTTATCCTGGCCCTCCCTGGTGGCACAGTGGGTTAAAGCACAGCACTTAGAAGCTTAAACCACTTCCGCATGAGTTCGATTCCCGGCTGCCCCAGAGATCCACATGGCACAGCAGACCTCTCCTGGCCCGCCCGCTGCTCCCCTCAGCAGTGTACTTCGTCGATCTGTCTGTTCTGCTCCCCACTGTCTCTGGTGAATCCTCTCACCCTCCGCATCTCTGGCTGTACCCCAGTTCTGTATGAATAAATAAATCTTTAAAAAAAAATGATCCAGTTATCCTACTTCTAGATATTTACCCAAAAATTCCAAAACACTAATTTGAAGATATATTTGTACATGTATACCTATGTGTGTGTAAATGTTATGTGTGTATGCAAGTATACATACACACACACACACAATTTACATGCACACTCCCATGTTTACTGCAGCACTATTTACAGTAACCGAGCGCTGGAAACAACCTAACAATGCTAAATGAATAGGTAACGAAGATGTGATGTATATATACACTATATAGGAAATATACTCATCTACAAAAAAAAGAGATGAAATCTTGTCACTTGTAACATGGATGGATCTTGAGGAAATTATGTTTAGTGAAATAAACCAAAGACAGGTACCACATGACTTCACTCATGCAGCATATTAAAAAAATACAGATGAACAGAATAAAACAAAAATAACGTCCAATTAGTGGCCACAGAAGGTAAGGGATGAGTGTGGGAAAATCAGGGCAAAGGGGATGGTCGTGAAGAGCAGACTGGACACTTGGTGAACTTCATGAAGTACATACATACCCATGTAATTCTTGAGGATGCACACCTGAAACTAAAATGTTATAATAATGCAGTGTTATTCCAATAAAATACCTTTAAAATGCTTAAGTGTAGTACCAAGTAGTCCTGAGTTAATTTACTTCTTGTACCTTTTGGATCTGATTCAGAGTCCTCTGAGAGGCCTGGAAAGTGACTGCCAGGTAATAAAGGTTGGTCCTGGGGGAGTGTCCTCACAGGCTGAGCACAACTTTGCTCCCCTCCTCCAGGTGATTAGTGAGTTGAGAAGTGGCACAGCATGTAACCCAATGTTTCAAGAAATTGTTAAAAGCTGAGCATAAGGAGCACCCTTTCCTAATCCTGGTTTCCAGGGGATTTTCCTGACACCCACCTGGATTCTGTATCCCTTTACTCCTACTGGCCCTGGGAAGGGGCTAGTTGACTCTAATCAATAATCAGGGGCCCCATGGTTTGGCCACATCCAACCTGCCTCCTGTAGCAATACGAACCTCAACCCACTGCCTTTTTATTTCTCGAGTGGTCCAAAACTCTGGCAAGGGAGAGTGTACTTTTCATTGCCCTTCCACCCCCATCCACCACCACCCAGAAACCTCAATATTCACAATTTATAGTTCTTTGTTCTTACAGTCCTTAATATCAGAACTCAGGTCCTCAATGATTTGGTCAGTAGGTCCAAACACAGATGCTGGGGACCCCAGTAACAGGCCATGCATAGGGTCCTGCCTTCATGGAGCTTCCCATTTGGGCCGGGCCCTCCCACTCACAAGTCCTGTGCCTCGTCGCCCGATCTGAGCTGACACAATTATACCAACTCAGATGGAAACCGCAGTCTTGTGAAATTTCTCTTCTCTTACACCCTCTATGAATCCTCATAGCTGTCACACTGTCTCCTGAGCCCTTTCCTTCAGGTTGTCTTGACTCCACTGTTACTCTGGGTGTGTCAGTGCTGGCACAGCTGCAATCTTGGGTGAGTAAAACCTTGTTGTAAAGACTGCAGAATCTCTGGCATCTACCTGTTAAATCCTGCCCCCACTATTTCAGTCTCTGGGAATTGCCTGTCACCTGGGATGCACTGAGTCACTACACTAGACCAGAAATCACGCTTTGGACAGGCAGTGGCTCTGAACAGCTGCTCAAAGCCAAGCTACGAGCACCTGATTAAGTGAACAGGACATGCTACAGTTCAGGCCACAAGTTTTTAAAAACAAAGGACTGCCAGAAAGTGTGCCCCTTAAAAAGTCTCAACGAAAGACTGAAATTAAGTCAGTTACAGCAAGGTTAAAATCTGAGCTTCCTTAAACATGAGTGCTAGGATTTAATTTTTTTCTTGTCAGCCTGATCATCAATTAAAGATTCCCTTATATAAAATGCCAGCCATAATGATTACTGAGCAAAAGACTGAAATTAGTAATTTACATGAGGTGAACAAATGGAGTGTACAGTTCTATTCAATTAGAAGAAATCTTAGAGAATTTTTTAAACTGGCATTTTATTACCAACATCTAGCATGTATAGTTTTACTACATCTGGAAAAGCTCATGAGGGAAGAAAATGTAAATTAAGTGCTAGGTAAAGTTTAGTTTTAATGAAACAGGATCTTAAGATATGGATACATGTTTAGTGGTTTTATTGCAATGTTAGAAAATTATATGAAAGATACAAAAAAAATCAATAATGTTATGTTTATTTTACAATCAGTATGCTACCTTTGACTACCGTATGGCTTTAAATCTTCATTCTGAACAGCAGATTTCAAAGAACAGAATTTACATGCCTTAATAAAACACTTAAAATATTTACAAATTCAAAATAGATGTTTCTTAACTGAAAAAAAAATTCACCTGAGAATTTATCATAACATTGCCATTTGTTTGCTATTTTTTCCAAGTTAATGTGGCCCGAGTGTCCATATGCAACCTGCATCGTGTACTGCATCAAACACATGTGATTCCTTATTTAAAATTGGGTAAGCATTGAGCTACAATAAACTGTTGTAAAATGGAGAACCAAGACTCATATCCACATTTGTTCTGAATATAACAACTAATCTGCGGTAGTTACAGAATTCAAATGATGAAAATGAATTTTATGGTAATGTTCTTTTATTAGACATAATAAATTCTTAAAAATGATCAAGCACTGAGAATGCCAATGTATAACATAAGGAAAAATAATCATGTAAATATGCAATATACAAACTGAAAACCACCTTTCCAAAATGTTGCATGAAGGAAGAGATATACACTGTATACACATAATCCTGTCATTTGTCTTCGGCAGCCTCAAAAACAAAAATCAACTTGAAATAAATTCTCTTAGAAAAAACTTCTCTAGAAGTTAATATTAAAATAGGCATAAATGCGTAATGCTATGCGTTATATAGAAAACATCCCCACCTTATGGCCAAAAGACAAAGATAAAAATGTTTTTATCTCTCTGTCCTGAAAACTATGGAGGAATGAGGTAGTGTAGTTACTTGTATTACATGCTGGCTAGTAAAAGTAATGCTATATTGTAAGAAATATTACACTTGGCCAATAAATCAGAATAACATTAAAATAAACCCAGAATGTTAACCTGTTTGTATAGAGATACATTTAAAACAAGGGTCTTAAAATTCATCTTTAAGCTCTGGAAACAACTAGGTTTTATCATAAAATAGTAAGTAACCTTTCAAAGCAGTTATTTACAGCAGCAATAAAAGCCAAAGGTCATGTGACATTTGCACATCCACAGATTGATATGACAAATAACTGAGTGTACACTGAGGTAGGAAATCAAGGGTTCCATTGGCTTATTGTAAGATTTTACATCTTGTAAACCAGAAAAAATGTTATATTACATATTGAAGTTAAAATTTAAATGACAAGTATCAAAAAGAAACCATTACATGAGGAGAGGCACACGAGCACAAACAATGATTCTGTAGCACGGGATGCACTATCATGGAATTAGCATTCTCCCTGACAAGGTCTTGAGTGTACATATAGAGCCTCTAGAAAATAAGCCCAGAAGTCTTTTCTTACAACTAAGTTAATAACCAAGATACATACACATCACTGGAAGTGCACTAGCACTCTCTCCCCGCCTCCCTCCCACCAGAAGGTGTAACTTTGGCAAAGTCCTCTGAAACATTGTCTGGTCCCACTAGGCTTCAGATCTGTTTCCCGCAAGGCTACATGGGCCTTTCCCTAGACTCAGGACACCACCTCTGTCTCTCTTGGGTATTTGACCTTGGTGCAAAGTACTTCCTAATCCCACCACCACAAACTACTCCTTTGTACTCTAAAACTGGGCTGCAAATACTTCTATGAATACATGCAATTTTATCTTTTAATTGCTGAGAAGGGCCACTGATTTTATTGGGTTTTCAATTCTGTAACACCAGAACGGCTAAGAACCATTACAAAGTATTATGGGGTGATTATAAAAACTGTATTTTAAAATGGAGCTGAATAAATACAAAGACTGATTTTAGAATGCTCAAATCAAGGTGATCTGTGGCCATTATACACCAGAGTTGGTGAAGAGAGCAAGCTTAAAGCAGGTTGCCAGATTCAAGTCCACATGGAAAAAGATCAAGTCTCATTTTAGTTCACAAACCGACATGATTGCTCCAGATACATTATCTACAACAGTGCTTTTTACAGGTAAACCATAGGTTTTCAAAAACAGGGTGAAAAGTGAATTGCCACTCCTAAGAGGAAACACAATTTCCTTTCCCTATGTCTCATTTTTTTGCATGGGAGACCTCTGGTGGGAGGGCAAGCAGCTCAGTGTTAGGGCTGTTAGGGCAAGGACTTCAGAATTCCAGAGAGGCCAATGATGCCAATGCATTCATTCATTCCAATGCACCCTGAATGCTATTCCTTCTTCCCAAGGGGCAAAAATGTCAGGAAACAGATCATGACAGACACACCATGTCGTGGAGACTGAAGAGAAAAAAAGGCCAGTGGGAAATGGACACTTGAGACTATAGCAACCAGAATTCCTGACAGTCGACTCGAGGAGGCCCAGCGCCTCCAGCAGCCCTGCTAGCTGTTCCCGGGCAGTCGGTGCACACTGGCAGCGCAGGGTGACCGCCTCTGCTTCTGGTCAATGCTCTCAGCTTCAGGTATAAAATGATTGTTCTCTATTTTTCACACTGTTGAGATCAAGTGCTACACAAGTAGCTGACACCTTACTTCCAAGTAGAAGGAATCCTTACAGGCACTGGTTGGGGAGAAATGTTCTTTTAAGCCAGTGTATTGCAAACATGTCAGACTGTTAAACTGGGGATGTTTTGCAGATGTTTTAAGTTGTCATTTGATATGCTGTAGTATTCATTCGCATGTTTTGGAAGAGTGGCCAAAGTTATTAATAGTCATTATTTTTGAAAACATGACTCTTAAAGCCTTACTATAATTTCATATGGGCTTTTTCAGTGTCCAGGAGGCAAAATCATTTCCGCAGCCCTTTGTGGAAACCAAGAAGTCTGGGTTGACTTCAGAGGAATTCCCTTAACAGCAAACTACTAGAGAGAAAAACACAATACTGTTAAGAAACAGATGGTTTCCTTTGGGCTTTCAAGACAATGGTGAAACTTCAGTGGAAAAGTGGATGGTGTGAAGGCAGCGAGTGCAAGTTTACTCATCAGTAGTGCACTTATCAGTCATCTGCTGACAGAAATCCGAAATGCCGCCGCCCGGCCGACACTGCTCCACCAGCCCTGCCGGCTCAGAGGTGGTGCTGGAGGTGGGCCTGGACTCCTGGGCCCGGGGGCAGCCTGCCTCTCGGTTCCTACGGGAGCGGGGGTAACAGGGGCTCTGCTCCCCAGCAGGCAGCACAGCTGGAGGCTTCTCGGGTGAAATCATAATCGACGGCAATGCCAGTTCAGTGTCAGGAGTACTTTTGCCTTTTTCAGAAATTAAAAATGAGAGTGGGCAATCTGAGGCTGAGTACTTGGCGAGTATCTGTATTTGTTCTTGACTGAGAGCTGCTTCTTTGCAGACTTGCTGGCAAAGTCCAGTTAGATTCTGCTTTGTCTCACCCAGAGTCGACAGAATGTGGTCTCTCTCCTTCAACAGACTCTCCTTCTCATTTTGCTGTGAAGGCAGGAAAGAGAACACAGTGACCGGTGTTTATTAGCATACCAACATTTTTAAGGTGAGCAAACACTCCTGTCTGCAATCTTCTTCTTATATAGCATCACATGGGATTCTTCCTTCAATCAAAAGCATACTAACTTCCTCAGGCCCATAAGCCTTCATCCAAAACTAGGGCCTAGATGTATCTTAGAATTCAGAATTTTTCACATTTTAGAAAAAATAATGACTACCCACATAACTCCTGCAGCTGGGTCTGGGGTACCACATCATTATCAAACATCATTACACTTTTAAATAAAATACATTAAAATAGCAAGCAACACAGACAGTAGGATAAAGACTACACAGGCTAATGTCAGTTTGGGTTAGTTATTTTAGCCAGAAGTTTGTGACAAACTTGAAGGATTTTCAGAGCTTTTTTGAATTTATGGATAGCAGATAAACAAGTCTGGTCTGGCATTTTGAGTGGAACATGGCAAAATAGCACAGTGCTCATAATGTATAACTCTATTCACTTTTAATCCCTTCTGGAAAGCCTATGGCAGCATTTACAGAAGTTTTCCTGGTTTCTGCCCTCCTGCCCACCACCACTTGCTGCTGCTGACAGCCTGTCCTCTGTCAACCTCATCCATGTCACCCTTCCTGCTCTGCCACTGCATGTGTCCAATCTAGCATGAGCAGGAAAACAAATAACCCAACTGCTTTTAAGGACAGAATAACTAAATGTTGACAGACGGTCAAAGGCTTTTCTTGTAAAATATGACAACTCTCTTTATTCTTGACAGGTGAGGTTGCCTGTTAACATTTAGATTAATTTATTTCAGAGTGGTAATCTACAATTAACATCCTTTAAAGAGATTGTTTTCTATAACAAAAATAGCTAAAATGGCAAGAAGAAATTTGCTTTGCATAAAAGTACTGTCACTTTTAAACTTCTTTTATAAAACTGTAAATCTAACGACTAATAGTTTTTCAATATTTTGGTTTTTCTAATATTTTAGACAATGTGATACGAATATAAAGTTTTAAATCTTTTTATATTATAAAGTATTCTCCCATTTATTCAGATTTTTATACAAGCATTCTGTTTTGAAAAATAGGTTATAGGTTAAGAATATGTTTGTGTGTATATACACATGTGTGTTTGAACAAGATCAACGCCCAGTAAGTGTATTTTTCCTTACAGAAAGTTTGCGAGTTGATAGTTTCCTGATAAAATGAGTCTATACATTCCTAGGGGGTAAGGAATAAGTGCCTACCTCTCCAGAAAAGGAATACAATTAATGCAATCAGCACCAACTTCTAATCAAATAATAAAAATAAAGCTTTCAGAAAAAAAATGAAAAATATTTTTCCTCAGTCACAATATTCAGTCAAGTACTCCTCTGTCAAAGTTGGGAGGACTCTGTTCTAAATAGCAACAGAAAACTTGCACCAGTCAGTTGGTCCCTTAAATATGATTAAGCAAAGAACAAATATTTGGGTTTCTCCCGGAAACTAGAACTGTTATTTAGCCTACAGACACTATGAAGACTACAAATGGTTTAAAACTTCACAAATATTTCTCATACTCCTACTGCACATACTCTCCAGTACACCCCAAACGGGTGGTTTCTTTACAACCAACTGAAAGCAATCAGCACAGCCCTGGAACGCTACATTCTCCACCATCATTTCTATAAATGAAATGCTCCCATTTGTCCCTTTCTGCGCTTGAAGTTAGCTTCTAAATAGCTAGGTTTCTAGGTAGTTAGCTGATTTTCATTTTACTGATTTTAAAACACAAATTTCACATCAACAGCACTCAGCTTAATAACTGGCAATTAAACAAAGCGGTTCCACTTAGTCACTACATGGTATCACTGATACCATCTACAATCATTAGAGACATAGTATCCCTGTCTCTACAGTCCCCAAATGTTCAACCAGTATCCCATACACACTTTCACCCTGTATTTTAATCTTCTTTTAATGCAACTGTTTAAATCA